AAGGAAGCATGGTTTCCTTAAGGCTGATATGTGACTAGTCATTCATTGACTACTCAATTTTGTTATCTAGTTTTGAACATCCCTTATAGAAAAAAAAACAATAGGTTACCATCTACACTCTTAAAACCACTTATTCTCTGGGGCGTTTTTGGTATTTTTGCCTAAATTTTTCATACTCAAATTCAAATGTTTGCCCTACACACATACAATTGTGGAAATGAAACAAAAATGGTTTCATTGTAAAGAAAACCCTTTGAACTACAAAATATGAGTGTAATTTTTTATAAATCACCTTATATATTTTTCAAATATTACAATAAACACAAAAAAACTTTTGGAGTTTTAAAAAAATATATATTTTTGAAATTCTGTAATTCAGGTTCTATTAGGCTCAACTCTCTGCAATTTACTTTGTTTGATGCCACTACATGCCAAAAAGTACCAGAAAAAAGAATCTTTCAAATAACAGCTTCTAAACAGGAGTTAGAACATTATTTGTGAAGCGAGTGAAAATGTCTATTTTTGCATCTAAATGTGTCATGGTGAGTTTTCTTTGCAAAAACAGGCTTTATAAAACACATTAACCCCACAATCCTATTGTACTCTGTGCCATAAGCACTTTAATTGATTATTGATTGAATTATGTTTCATTTTTATGTTTTTAAAAATGTAATAATATACAAAATGGCACAAGCGAATTGGACCAAATTTCTCATATTGTGATTTCTACACTCAGTTTAATTCTTTCAGGATGCTCAAGACTGTCTACATTATAATATATATCTGGTCTATAACAATCTAAAATAGATATCTATAACATCAGAATGGCTCCCTGCGAGCTGTAATGAGATGGAGAGCCATTATTTTCAGACGCGCTGGATTCCGTTACCTGGACAGAACGCGAATATCTCACCGATGGAAGCACGCAGAAACGTGAAAATTGTCTTGTTTGAAAGAAGAGATCCTAATCTAAAAGGTAATATAGAGTTTATAGATATTTGTGGCTGTTTGCGGCTAACTGAAGCAGTGCTACAAGTAGGAATGTTACACTATAAAAAATTCTGTTTGTTTTTTTTTTACATCGCAATTCAATTGAAGATAATTCGATCTATGATTGTCTCACAATAAAATGATTTACATCGTCAAATTCCTGAGAATGAGAACTTTCTTGTGATATATGACTTGACTTTTTTGTGAAAAATATATCAAATAAACATTCTTCATAAAAATGTCACATTGGTTAGGCGGAAAACCGTGTGTGGGACGAATACATTTCTAAGCTTAATTTTATTGCTTTATGAATATAAAAACCAAAAGGAATTCTTTGTAAAGAAGACACTCCAAGCTTTCAAATGAACCCATATATGGGCTGATACCATATAAGGAAGGCTATGTAAATGAAGCATACACATTTTTAACGTGACTTTAGACCCGTATCCGGGTCTGCAGAATTTAACTGGTTGGTTCCATGGCATGAACATTTCACTTTATGAGGTTTTTTAACATTAATATGAGTTCCCCTAGCCTGCCTACAGTCCCCCAGTGGCTAGAAATGGCGATAGGTGTAAACCGAGCCCTGGGTATCCTGCTTCGCCTTTGAGAAAATGAAAGCTCAGATGGCCCAATCTGGAATCGTCCCTTTATGTCGTCATACGGGGAAAGGTTACCTCCCCTTTCTCTGCTTTGCCCGCCCAGAGAATTTGGCCCGCCCATGAGAAAATGAGCTACTACCGTGCGAGGCGAGCGCAATATTTTTTTTTCCTCGAGAGACATCATGGCTTGCAAACGAGCGAAGCATGGCAGTTGCCCCGCCTCTCTCCTCCTCATTAGCATTTAAAGCTACAGACACAGAAATGGCACATCCTAAGGAAAGCTCATTGTGGGACTGGCTCGTAGTGGCTGAAATTCTGCGAAAGAGACTTCAGATACAGTACTAGGGATCACTTAGGCCTATATAAAAGCATCCAAAAAGCAGCATGTCATGGGACCTTTAAGTAAAAACCCATTAAAAATAGGGCCTAATGTGCAGTGTTAACATGAAGGGATTTTCCATATAGATTTTTTTTTTACAGGTGTTTTACCCATATATTTAATTATGCATTGCATTATGTTTTGTTTTAGTTTTCAGTGATGACCAACTAGAAACTAGAAACTGTGTAAAACCAGCCTTATGCTTGCCAGTGTTGTTACTGTCAACTAAAACTACTAAACTATAAAACTGTTTGTTAACTGAAATAAAGCTGAAACAAATATAAATATTAAATGAAAAACTCTGACTACTAATTTAAATAAAAGTTGAATTACTAAAACTGAAATTGAATTGTAAAACTAAAATAAAGTAAAAAAAGTAAATAGATTAAAAAACAAATTAATAAAAATGATAAAAGCACATAACAAAATGTCTAAAACTGAAAATATAAAAGCTAATTGAAAATATTGATAAATACTATAATAAACAAACAAATTCAAGCTATTCATCTTAAACCCACAGTGATATCAGGTTTGATTGCTTATCTATGCAAATGTGTCTGTGCTCCACAACCTAGTAAACTGACTTGCTGCATACTACCTACATAGACAGCTACCTGAAACATAACCTTGTGAGTGACTTTATGGACGTTCTATATACACAGCAGAACTAGATCTTCTCACTGAAAACAAATGGGAGATTTGCCTCACAACTGATTCCAATAGAGTTTGCCTTTAGCATGTGTTACTAAAAATGTGCAAAACTCAAATGAGCATAAAACAAACATAGGCCATAAATACAGGTTAAAATGGTTAGTTTTAATTAGAGAGGAGTTGCGGTGACAGACCAAACATCTAACAACCAATTAGCAAGGTTGAATAGTCCACTTTTTTGGAAATAGTTTTGCTATGAAATTCTTCCAATTTAAAGCACTGCCACACACATTTAGCTTAGTGCAGTGTTTTTTTAAGATGCTGTGATGAGTTAAAAATTATCCAACTTTAAAAATCAACCTACTCTATTTTGTTGTGCAGTGTTATAACATGGAACAAAAACCATGCTTTAGTTTACATGTTCTGCTAATACAAACACTTCTGCTTGCAGAAGCACATCTCTGTAATTGACTGTGTAAATATGTTCTGTGATTTTATAGAGACAGAACTGAAATGTCATACTGCAAGCCTTTCATTTTTCTATTACATTTTAAAAGCAGTGTTTTGAAATATATCCTCCCTCAGTGAGCTCGGGAAACGTCTCTGCATAAACACTGTGTGAAGTGGAGCGTTTTGTCTCAGATTAACTTGAAAATGAAGAGCAGCCTTAAGTTTTGTATTAAAAAGAGGATATGGGAAAAAAGTCTGTCTGCCAACATGGTGCACTTTACATCTCATATTCTTTCATATATGGCCTGATCTCATACATATAATATAGGGTCAGATCAGGGCAGGTAGAAAACTGTTTCCAGAGATACCGGCAGTACAAGTGAGGAAAAAAATTAAAAAAGAGTCAACATAGACTGAACCCTGGACAGTACTTCAAGATAAGTCTGGACAAGTCTTGAAGCAGGCATGTTAGGTTTTTTTCTTTTTTTTTTAGAAGGTCACTGGGGCTTTGCTCTTCTGGCCCACCTTGATTATTTGATATGTGCGTGGTTGTAAATGTTTTGAAAGCTAAGTAGTCACATGCATTTTTTAAAGTTCAACCGACTGCCAAACCATCATCAGATTCCTGTGAAATAATCAAAGTGTTTGGGTGGAGTAACAGAAGACAGCAGTTAATATTCAATGTAGATGACATAAGAAAGAAAGAATATATATATATATATATATATATACATACACATACACACACACACACTGTTTATACTGTAGTGTATGCTATTTGTCTGTCTGTGTCTGTCTGTCTGTCTCCTATAGGAAGTAAATATTAGAGCTTGTAAAGTAGCAAAAGAACAGTATAAACTGGTGTGTTGGTTCAGAGTAAATACAATCCTGCATTCTGTTGTCATGACACTCAGCAGACATCTTATTTTCAGTCGGATGTACACAAGAATCAGCACGAGAAAATGGGGTTAAATGCAAAATTTTTTACTTAAATTGTCCTCTAGGCAAGGCAAAATGAAAGGTAAGACTAATATGCCTAATTATATTTCAGGATGAAAATAGAAGTAAGTGTCTATGACATGAGGCCTTACAATTATAATATATATAAAAAAATATATAATAAAATAATTCATGAAAATAATAAAACGTATCCCTTTTCTCATGTTTATCTCTGAATCACAGGCAGATGTGATATATAAGATTGGCTATTTGTAAATAGGCCTACATTGTCACATTAATACAATTTATCAAAAAAAAACTAAAACTAACTAGAAGTCGTAGTAAAAAGTGCACTTTCACCTTTTAAAAGTCAAAGAATCTCTCAAACGTTTGATCTACTGTACAAACCCAAAACTTGATAACAGCTACGGCTGAAGTCTACAAAGTTTGAATGGAGTTTTTTAACCAGAATGTTTTAAGAATATCAATACAATTCAGCTTTGCAAGCACTGCAAAGTTTGACAGAGAACGAAAAAACTCAGGGCATATACTGTATATAGTATATGTAAGATGATTGTCAGAACTGCACAGACACTACAAATCAATAACAGCTAGAGGGAACAAGCAACCTCAAACGCTCTGCACAAAAACGTCCCATACAAACACAAACTTTCTTTTGAGAGTAATTCAGTAATTTCAGCAGGAACCAAAAGTATGCGTCAAAATCAATGGATGCTTCCTTTTATAAAAGAAAAGTATGTCATTTTTATTTCATAATTGATTAATTGTCCAGTATAATCCTTTGCATTGCAGATTGGATGGTTGATAATGTGCATTATTTTAAGTATTGCAGAATTGGATATTTACTGGGTGTCTGTCTTTTCCTTGCACAAAGACGTGTTTCATTCATACCAAATCAAGTGAGAACACTTTGGATTATTATCTGTTAATATCACTCTGTCTTTCTGTCTTTTTCTCACACACAACAGAGCAAGAAACACGCCAACAAAGTGCGTCTGTTCTACATGCTCCACCCAGAAGATGGAGGTCCACCATCCAAAAGACTGAGACCAGACAATCCGGTATTTTCTAAAGCACATAACTTAATTTCATTAAAATACCAAGTCAAGTGGCATCTGAAAATGATAATGTAAAGCCTAAAAAACATGTACACTCTAAAAAATGCTGGGTTAAATATAACCCAGCGCTGGGTTAAAAAGGGTCAAACCCAGCTATTGGGTTGTTTTGACCCAGCGGTTGGGTTGTTTTGAACCCAGCTTCTGGGTCAAAACAACCCTATAGCTTTGCAGAATTGGATATTTACTGGGTGTCTGTCTTTTCCCTGCACAAAGACGTGTTTCATTCATACCAAATCAAGTGAGAACACTGGATTATTATCTGTTAATATCACTCTGTCTTTCTGTCTCTTTCTCACACACAACAGAGCAAGAAACACGCCAACAAAGTGCGTCTGTTCTACATGCTCCACCCAGAAGATGGAGGTCCACCATCCAAAAGACTGAGACCAGACAATCCGGTATTTTCTAAAGCACATAACTTAATTTCATTAAAATACCAAGTCAAGTGGCATCTGCAAATGATAATGTAAAGCCTAAAAAACATGTACACTCTAAAAAATGCTGGGTTAAATATAACCCAGCGCTGGATTAAAAAGGGACAAACCCAGCTATTGGGTTGTTTTGACCCAGCGGTTGGGTTGTTTTGAACCCAACTGCTGGGTCAAAACAACCCTATAGCTGGGTTTGTCGCTTTTTAACCCAGCATTTTTAGAGTGTATTTTGTGCAGTGTCTTACAAGTGATAAGTTAAAAAGTGATAATATTTTTTACAGTTTTTTTTTCAACTGCTTACACACAAAATCTTTACTTGTCACATAATTTCTGAAACCTGAAACCTGACACTCAAACACCAGAACCACACACCAAATCTGCAAAACCATACTCTAACTCATAAAACACTTTTTCCAAAACACAACACACAATTCTCTATGTAACACAAAAATCTAACAGGAATTAATATTATGGCAAAGGCGTTTACAGATGTTTGCTTTTGAGATGCGTTTGTGATATTTTGAATGCAGTGCTTCATTTTGCAAGAGATGTGAGGCATTTTGCATCTTGTGTGTGCAATTCTTGGATTTGTGTTTGGAAAAAAAGAGGCAAAGTTTTGAAAATGTCTGTAAGCAGTTGAAAAAAATTTGCAAACTAAATGCCATGTGGTTTGATATTTTGATGACAAATGACAAATCATACATTTGAATTACATGCATGTTTAATTTAAGTCCCAAACAGCTGTACTTAAATGATAAGTGATATTCCTTAAGGTAGAACAATCACTAATAAAGTCTCTTCTCAATCATTTCTCCTAGATAGCAATGAGACTATATGGAAAGCAAGATGAGACTTCAGTTATCTCTTTACGAAAAATCCATACCCTCCTCTGAAATTGTCTAAATTTGTGCTTAGATTTGCCAAGATACTAAAGTCAGAGATCTAAAAATGAACTCAAATATATCTAATAACAATATCTGGATTATGCTGTCAACGTTAATTTTATACTCTTACTATATCACAACTTGTTATAATTGAGAACAACTGATCTATAAAAAAAAAAAAAAAACACTAAGCCATTTTTTTTCTTTCGGATAATCTACTGAAGTTGATTAACCTCAAGAGAGACATTTTTGTCTTCGGTGAAATGCTAAATGAGGACAGTGGAGATTACAGGCACTGAGCTTTGATTTTTCTGTTGTTTTCACTCCTCAGAGACAGAATCTTAATGTTCCATTCCCCCAAAAGGCAAATGACCGCCACAGCAGCCATCAACAGTAATGTCTTCATAGACTCTGAATTAAGCCATGATTAACACAAGCTGTTTAGAAAGCAGATAGACAACTTGGAGAGGCTATAAACCAGGAGATGTATAGTTCCAGGGTTTTTTAGTCTTTTCTGGCAGTTCTGAATATACCATAAAACATCTTAATGATCCCAGGGGGAATTGATGATTTGACATACAGACACATACAGGTTGTTTTGACTGGTTATGAAGTGCCTGAGCTCTTGTAATTGCTTTCTGAAGGGTCGCTGTGGGGTGGAGATGTTAGTTTATCACTCGCATTCAATCAAACCTCCCAGCTACCATTCTGTTTGAATCGTAGTCTGTGCTCTTATACAAAGCTCATTAGTGGGGCTGTTTATGAATAATTCTTCTTGGTACCAGGCAGTCCTTGGCCACGACTGCGTCTTCACTTTCAAACCCTCCATTTGAGTGAAGCAAAGCCGACGGGCCACAAATCAAAACCAAACTCAAAATGAAGAAAGTGCAAGCCTCTAGCCTAAAGAAACCAGTGCTGGCCAACATTTCACTGACTGAAACTTTGAGTCCTGCCACTTCACAACTTTTTTGTCCACTCCACACATCCACACAAGTCAATTCAGACTCCTCTGTCAAGAATAGATGGATTGAAGGAGATATTTCTCACATTTGCTCGGCTATCAGTCTGGAATCAGTCAGAGACACCGTGTGCCCTGTCAATGGCGTCTCCCACAGGACAGAAAATCACAAGATCGTCTTTCACATCGCTCTTATTCTCTAAGACAGACATGTACTGAGAAACAGACCGTCATAGACTCAATTGTTTCTTCAAGACAGAAATGATTAAATGGAGATAAAAATTGAAACTCATGCTTTTTCCTGATAAAACACTCCTTTACAGTTTCAAAATAGATTTCAGTGTCTCAAACGGTGCCCAGATTTGCCAAGATACCCAAGTCTACAATCAAAAGTCAGAGAATTCAATATGAAATCAAACACGTTTCTGTTTTTACATCATTTAGGGATATTAAGGGAAAACATCGGAGAGAAAGCCGATAGTTACATGAAACATTCAATTTATCATTTTTGTTCATACTGCACCCAATTCCCAAATCCAAACTTTAGGACTGTCTGCTCTGTCATTTTGTAAATGTGGTGTAGACAATATCTTCTTGGTTGCCATAGTAATGAATTAATGAAATGCATTTTAAAAATCAGATTTTAATCAGATTAGCTCAAATCTTATTTATGTGGGTTTTTGCTCCTCAAACTACAAACAACTGAAGAGCTCTTAAAACTCCAAAACTCAATATATCAATAAATAAATGTGGTACTTTAGTATCATTAATATACTATTATAGTTTGTAAATTTTTGAATGAGGCTTTATTTGTATATATTTAATTATAATTTTAGTTAACGTTTTAGTAATTTTATTGTTTTGTTTGTTGTTTTTATTAGTCTTTTTGATTTATTTTTGAATATGTCAGTATACGTTTTATTTATTTATTTAAATTTTTGTTATCTTAGTTCATCAACTTAAACTAAACAAAAATGAACAGAAATGTTGCATTGGCAACTAGATGAAATATAATGTCTATACTTTTTTAATATGTTATTTTAGTTCATGTTAATTAAGTTAAAGTTACTTTAGTATCATTAATATACTATAATAGTTTATCAGTAGTTAGAATTTTTATTCAATTAGTAATTAGGTTTTATTTGTATATCTTTCATTGTAATTTCAGTTAAAGTTTCAGTAATTTTATTGTGTTTTGTATTTTCTATTAGTATTTATATATTTACTTTTGATTTATTTACTTATTTTTAAATATGTCTACATACTTTTTAAGTTTTGTTTTTAGTTTTTGTTATTTTAGTTCATCAAATTAAACTGAACAAAAATGAGAAATGTTGCTGCTTTGGCAACTAGTTTAAACAAAATGTTTACATTTTTTATATTTTATTTCAGTTAATGTTTAGTTATGAAGATGATGTTTTTTAATGATTTTAGTTTTTAGTTAAAAAAACTTTAAATCTCCCAGCTGTGACTATGTTTCTCATTGTTGTGACTTAAAATATCACAAACTGTGACTTTGTATCTTCCAACTTCATATCTCTAAAAGTGGCTTTATCTCACAGTGCGATATTATTTCTAATTTTAAACTTTACCTCATAATTACATTTTTACATTTTTTACATTGAGGTGAAATCAGGCTTCCATAACATTCCATTCCAGCGTGTAAAAGCAGAGCCACCCCTGAGAATAACACTCAGTCTCGTTCTCAGTTTAACTCGCCTTGTTTTCATCAGACTCCTTGACTTCATCAGAGAGGAAGTGGTGAGTTACACTGAGGCTGTGGAAAGCGGGTTCGAGTTTCCTTTTCAAAAATGTCAAGCAGAAGTACACAGACTCGCAGGAGAACAACAAGAAGAAAGTAGGTCAGAAAGGTGCTCGGAGATATTAAAAAAATATATTTCTTTGCTTTAGTGGCTCTCCATCAGGAAGAATGACGAAAATAAAGGATGTTAAAGATCTCCTCCGTTTTTCTAAATCTATATTTTGTATGCCGCTTTTAACCGGCACAATTAATGTGCCTCTGTGACTTTCCTCCTTCGGGCTCTTATTTTTAGCTTGTTTTCACACCCTTCCCAACATTTCAACAGAGAAATGAGAGAGTGGAGGAGAGCTTATATTTTTATAAAAAGTACATAGTAGTTAAGGCCACCTAATATGTGACCGTAACTTTTTCTGTTGTAAAATATGAATTATTGTAATTTATTCTCAAGTCTTCATTGTCGAATTATCCTTCAGAAATCATTCTAATATGCTGATTTGATGCTCAAGACAACTTTTTTTATTATATCAATGTATATGTAAATCTCAATAAAAATATGTTTTTGTAGAAAATTATATTTTTTTCAGGATTCTTTGATGAATAGAAAGCTTTTTTTTTTAAATAAAGGTTGTTGTTTTTTCTTTACTGTCTACGTTGATCAATGTAATGCGTCCTTGCTGATTTGAAGTATTAAAGTACAAAATTCTTAAAAAAAACAAAAACATTATTAACCAACAGTGATGGAAAAAAAAAACTATAATAATTGATCAGAAATATATATTTTATATAGCACTCCTTTATACAGCATGTGCAGTGCCTGGGCTTCCAAAACAAACTGAATTGAGCTGCATGCACTGCATAGAGATCACATGAAGCACTAAAACACACATCATAGTGAATGCACAT